AAGAAAACGTAGGTAGTGAAACTCCCCACATGTCTGGAAACAGCTCAAAACATAACTTGTGTCACCGACGTTCAATCACCGAAGACAAGTGGCGATGTCATTTGCAGTGCTTTATTCCAAGTCACATCAATACATATGAACAACTTTGACAGCCTTCTTTCATACCCTACTCGCATCACCGACAACGAGGCAGGAACTGCTGACATTGCTGGACAAGCGCAAGAGTATTTTCGCGAGAAAGTGTTTTCAGCTGAGAGGAGCAAGCACTGTGAAGCATAGGTATGTGATTGACACCGGTGGCCAAACCCATCTGGCAGCCATCCGGACTCATGCCAACCCTCCCTCCACTAGAAGGGATCAACTGTCTAGTCGACGAGACGATCCAAAACGAGGTCCTAAAGCCCTCCCTTTCACCACCGCCATTACCATTTGCACAGGTAAAAAAAGGCGAAAGACCTCGGCTGTGTGAGGCGAGCACAGAAATGTGAACCTAGTAGCAAGGAAGGATGTCTTTCCTTTATCCCACATAGACGATTCCCTACACTCCTCACACGCGTCCAAGTACTTCTCCACGCTATTTAAATTCGGAACCTTGATCAGCGGAGATGCTAGCAAGAGAGCACACTGTCCAGCCGCCTCTACTGATTCCAGACAATGTCATTCGTACTCCGCAATACAGCGGCTACTTTTCAACGCCTTGTCCAAACTCCTCTGATTGGACTACTCGCAAAGCATTGCATACCATACTTGGATGATGCATGCATTTTCGCCGGAAATATTCCGAAATACAATGCCAACTAGAAATTAGTAATATGTCTCCTACAAGAAGCAATTTTGACACTGAACATGAGGAAATGTTAGTTCCCACAACACTCAGACAGCTTTTTGGGACGTACTGTATTATCAACCGAGATGCAAGTGAGGAAAGGCCAACAGTAACTAACCACACGGACCGCGTTGTTTCCCTTTGTTGAAGGTTTTGCCAAAATCACAGGCCCACTACGTAGCAGACTGGAAAAGCGGAGCAAGAACCATTTTAAGTGGGAGAAGTAGCACGACGGAGTGTTCAAGGAACTGAAGCAATACTCCGCTCTGCAGCAATTCTAGTTCTAAATCCATTTGAAGTAGGTGCCTCCTCATTTATCCTACACGATGACAGTGGTGAGACAGTTGTGTGCAGTGTACTCTAACAATAGGAGGACAAAGGTCAGCAGCATGTCATCGCTTACACGAGAACGAAACTCCACAAGCAAATGAGACAGAAGGACGCTACACAACGCAAACTGTTTACTGCATTCACAACGGTTAGCTATTGCAGACATTACCGGTTGTAGAGAAAGGTCACAGTGAGAATAGGTCATTGAACGCTGACTTGGGTGAAGACAAAGTACAAATGAAGCTCTCGGTGGTGCGTTGGTACGGAGAGCTGCAACAATACAGTTTTACACTGCACTACAGAAAAGACAATGCACATAGCAATGCCTTTGCCTTATCTCGCAGACCAGGACCCGTCAAAACTACTGACTTTTCCGGAAGTACCATGCAGCTGTGTACTTCCAATACATCCCAGTGAGGAATACGATGTACACCGATGCTGATGGGATTCTGCCGTTAGAACGATTCCTTCCATCCTCTTGCGAACCAACAGCCAAAGAGATGTTGTCGTCACAGTGATTGAAACAATCCCTAGAGGATGAGGTATTACGATACCAAGTTCAAGTTGGAGGTAGTAAACACCTAGCAGTTACAGTTTTGTTAGCATGAACAGCTCTCCAAGATTTCAATGAGCTATTGGACCATGTAGGTGAAAAAGAATATGGTGGACACTTCGAACAAAAGGTACTGATGGCCCTCAGTTACTCAGGGTGTACGTGACCTCTCCCATACCTGCATAACCTACACAGGATTCATTAAACCTTACCTTTTGGCGATTGCACTACTTTAGGCATCATACTAAACCAATCACGATACATCATAATAGAGTGGATCCTTTTAAACGTCACACCACCAGCTTGATGGGAGGATAAGATCTATGTGGCAACAGAAGAAAGATACTTAACGAAACTGGGGTACGAGGAAACAGACTCCATGAGAAGCATCAGAAGTAAT